CACCTAGACTCCTCTCTGAGGGAGTTTAGAAAGCAAGGGGATCTTTTCTGAACCTCATGACTCCACGGGAGGGTCTCCCTGACAGCTTTGTCTAACCCTGTCCTCTGTGCAGTAAATAACCAAGTGTACCTTGCCATCGAATCTCAAACTATTGTCGCAGTTACCACTGAACTCTGTTAACTCACTGTTTTACACCAATAAACCGCATTATTTTTGCCTCCCTCTCACTCCATCCGTGACACCAACTCTCTCAGCCTTTCAGTGAGTTTTTTATCACTGGTTATAATACGCTTATTTTCTCCCCATCACTTTGGCTGTAATAGTTCAGTTTAGTACACAGAGCACACGTCCTCTGTGCTGCCTGCTTCATTATGTTGATCTCTTTCTATGCCACATTTCTCAGAACAACGTGTCAGCTCATAAATCCCGTCCTACAGCGACAATAGTAAAAACCTGACAGACAGTAAGAGTTGCTTTATAACGTGGAACAAGGTGATTAACTAAACACTTGATTTCTTTCTACTTAGTTTAATTAGTTCAGCTTAATTATTTAACCTATTAACAAAAGGTTAATTAAACTGAATCTGAAGCAGTCTCTTACTATATTTATATTGCTTATTTTTTTGGAATGGGACTGGTGTTTCATTACCTCTCTTGATCACTGATTCTAATGCTGCTGTTGCTCTTTCTTGAAACAGAATCCCAGAATGGCAGGGGTTGGAAGGGACCTCCAGAGATCACCCAGTCCAGCCCCCCTGCTAAAGCAGGGTCACCCAGAGCAGGGTGCACAGGACATCGTCCAGGCATGGTTTGAATATCTCCAGAGAAGGAGACTCAGTGCTCTGTCACCCTCAAGGTAAAGAAGGTCTTCCTCATATTCAACTGAAACTCGAACCTCTTCTGCTTCAGTTTGTGCCCATTGCCCCTTGTCTTGTCCCTGGGCACCACTGAGAAGAGTCTGGCTCCGTCCTCGTGACATCCACCCTTAAGATATATGTACGTGTTGATGAGATCCCCCCTCAGTCTTCTTCAGGCTGAACAAGCCTAGCTCCTTCAGTCTTCCCTCGTAGGACAGATGCTCCAGTCCCCTCATCATCGTAGCCCTCCTCTGGACTCTCTCCAGTAGTTCCTACATTTGTTTTCCCAAGGGCCAAGTCAACCCATAATTCAGTGCTAATGTTAAATCAGTTGTGCATTACCCGCTGCGCAGGGTGCATCTTCTAAAAATGCGCCCCTGCTCTTCTTCCCAAGCTGCAAGGCAGCAGGGTGGGTTAGAGGTGGCAGCCCTGTTTCTAAAGGCTTCTTCAAGGCTCTTTTGAAGACCACCTTGAAAAATGAAAGCCCAAAGCAAATGCCACAGTGCAAACCAGCCAAGGTGTTAAGATCAAATTCCACAAACTCAAGCCCAAGAGCTGTTGGGAGCAGCCCACTGATGTGGCACAGCCAAACTGCCCCTACCCAGGCAAGTCCTGGTACCTGCAGCGCCTGCCCTTAGCTGAAGGTCTACCATGGCTTGCTGACCTATAAACTGCTATCTTGCCAAAAAACACATAATGGCGATAGTCTAGAAAAGCACGGACCAGGGACTAGAAATACCGCTGCTGCCCATATGCTTAATTTTTGTCACACATGCTCGTGGCTAGGTAGCTGAGCATCAGCACAGGCAGGCTGTGTGGGGGACAGGGCAGAGCCACCGCACACCAAAGGCACACCAGGAGGGGACAGACTCCCTCCACCACATCTAAATGTGCCCCATGCGTGCTGGCAGACGAAGATGTGGATGGTCAAGACAGGTTGGGGAGCCTGACAGCCCCCAAGGGAAAAGACCTTTCTTGCGAGACCCTTAACTCAAAAATCCACCTACCGACTCTGAGAATCCAAGCCAGGAAAGTTTGCACAAAAGAAATCTGCACAAACCCTCCAGAACTGGTTGACACCTAATTTTTCACCAGCATTTTAAAGATTTTAATTCCATCTCTGTAGTACAATAAACTCTGCACCCGCAACCCCCAACCCAAGAGCAAGAGCACCCACCAGTTCTACCTGCATCCCATGCACCTGGAGAAGCTCAAGAATCAGACCTGCCACCTTCAGGCTTAGATTTAACAAGCTCCTGCTAAGCAGAAAGCTGAATGAGATCACATCTGGTCCGGGGCCAGAAAGTAATGGTGCGATAATGGTTTTATTGGCTTTTTGAGAAGGAGCTGTTTGGTTTCAGAGAGAGAGGGAGAGAAGAGTCAACAGCAGCATTCGCTCCGGCTAATCTCATTTCCAGAAGCATGCAGAGCGAGAAGGTGCTTGGGCACAAAGCTTTGCTCGATTGCTCTCTGTTTATCCAGAATTACATTAGGAGCGAGGCGCATCTGAAAACAGCCCACGGCAAGAACTAGGGGTTTGCCAAGGGCTTCTGCAGCATCAGGTTTGCGGGAAGAGACAGCCCAGTGCTCCCAGCAAGTTGCTGGTTGGCTAGCAGCCCGTCTGCGCAGTACAAGCGCTTCAGAATTAACAGAATAGATGTGCAGGTAAGGGGAAAATTTAAAGCTGTTAAAAAAATAGCTCCTTTTCATAGAAAAGATTCAGACCTGCAAGTTTTAGACGTGCAAATTTAAGGCAGTGGCGAAGCAAGTGCTGCAGCTAATAAGTGTTGATTGGACAATCTGGTTAATTTAAAATAACGTATTTACCTTAAGGAAAAAGAAATCAAATGCAGAAGGGTGAATTTGGCCTGGGTGAAGGGCCCTTACAGGGGAAAACTACAGCAGAAGTCAGGCTGATGGCGACCTGCCCTGCTGTCCACAAAATAAGTTACTGTAAGAACCGAATTAGCACCAAATCTGGTATAACAGCTCTTTATTTCAGTGTCTATAACACAAAGAGAGGGCTTGCATTTTGACACCAGAACCATGCAAAGCACCTACACACCGAGAACAAGACATTGAATGAGTGTCTCTCTCCTGCTACATGTGGAAAATTTAGGCAGGAAGACTCAAGTTTTCCTGTGCGTTCTGCTCTATCCTCCCACAAATCAACCAGCTGCGAGGGGTGATCATTAACCTTCATTCCAAGTCAAGTAATTTGCCACTGAACAGTATGCCATGCTGCCCTAAGCTGCTCAAATATGCTTCTGTAAACTTCATCAAGGTTCTGCTCTCTGTTTACAAGGACAAAGTCCCAAACATCTCCAGCTACAGGAACAGACTTTAATCAGAGGTACTGGATTAATGAATTTGGCTCAAAGGATGAACGTCTCCTCCATACAGCGGCCCCAAAAAGGCCCTTATTAATGTCCCAGACAAGGGATGTAGAGACCACCCTAGGCTCAGAGAATTGTCATGTGCACAGAGGACAGCTAGACATCCTGAACTATTAAAAAACAGTGGTATAGAAAAATAAAAGGCATAAAATACTGAACCAAAAAGGTTCCAAATAAGGCATCAGCAGGTCCCGACTGGATGTGCTCCCGTTGTGTGCATCACCCTCCCAGCCAGGGTGGGTTAAGAAGGATGCATTAGGATTGTATTTCTGACCTCAATCACTAAGCACTATGAGCAACCAGAAGGGTTCAAGTTCTGTTCGAAAAAAGGAAAAAAAAGAAACAAAACAAAACAAGGAATATTCTTTTTGGTAAGTATTTCTTAGAAAATAAAATTAAAATGTTAAAGCAATTTGTTTAAATGATTATTTAAAAAAGAAGACATTCCTGTAAAGTAAAAATATATATATATAGAAATAGAATATAATTTTTTTTTGTTGTTTTTTAAAAAAAAGACATTCAGTATCACATCAGCGGATTCCAATCCACTTCCCATCCGTCTCCTGCAACAACCGCTGCTCGTTAAGGCAAAACGTCAGGTTGGGCACCATTACAACAGCTGAATCCGAGTGGCCAAAGGCGAAGCAGAGCCGGTGGCGCACCGGCGTCAGTGAGGCTGCTTCTCCCTCACGCTGACCGAGCCGTCCTCCATGCCGAAGTACACAACTTCTGCCATGTCGATGAAGAGCCCCGTCTCCACCACACCTGGGGAACAAGAGGTCACGTGCTGGTTAATGCCAGAGCCACCCCATTGCTTGAATCCTCTGCTCTGACTATGGTTTTGTTCATTAAACGGTGCTAACGCCTCCTTCGGAGGTTTGGGGAGAGGTGTCCAACCTGGGTGATGTTGCATCAGCGACATGGGGAACCTCCAAGAAGTCTTCTCCATGCAGCCAGCCCCAGAAGAAACTCTCCAGAGAGCAAGAAACAACTCCCAAAGCTCGCTCCAATGTTCAAGCCACCCCAGACTCCACCGTTACACCAACACAACCACAAGCGTGGCATTTTCAGCCATCTGATGACCCACAGGAGCAAGAGGAAGCTACACGTAGCCATAGGCTTATTCACTTTGCCTTGAAATGCATCTAAAAAACTATCCCGTTAGAGAACACCCAGGTAACGCTTGTTCAAATGTTAAGACACAGCAGGTCTGATGCTACCTCTGCAATTTGTAGCCTGTTTGCAAATGTACTTTTGGTTGCATTTAATTACAGGGTGCTCCTAACTTCTCTGTGATCACCAAGCCACAGCCAGAGGCCATGAAGACAGACAGAAATGGAGGACAAGGGCTACCACCAGCACAAGGCGGCCAGAGCCCTGCGCTCAGGCTCTAATAGTTCTGCTCATCCACTTTTGGGCAGCGAAGATGCTCTTCTCCCCTTAGCAAGCCCATTTGTGAGCAATAAAAAGAAAATGGTGCGGAAACCATCTATCTCCATACCAACACAATGGAGCAGGTACCATCATTTACCCCTTCATCTCTTCACTAAAAGAGATAGAAGGAAGAAGTCCTTGCTGAGATGCTGTTCTGTTTGCAAACAGCGTAACCAGCCACTGTTTCTCTCTTGCACAGAAACAGCTTTTGTACAGCCGTGGGCAGCAACCACATTAGGATACGGAGTGCTGCACCAGGGACAGCCCAGACCAGCTGTGGTCACCAGTTCATCTAGATCAGTCACCAGTTCATCTAGCTCTGCTCCTGCTG